TGGAACAGGGTGTTGGGGTATTTGATGAATTGGACCAGTGAATTGAAAAGGGAATAGCCTCTCTTCAGAATTCTGATGGGAGGGAATGACATTGAGTTGGATGTGGTCAAAATGGCAGCAGATGATCCATTGAATGGAGATGGTGGAATAGAAGATGAGAATGAGGAGATCACTGTTGTGGCTCTGGGAGGCTGGGCAGGGTGAGTGCACATGTGGGACCAAATGGGACCAGAATAACCCTGTCAACCATGATGGAGGGAAGCCCTTACATTCGGAAAAAAGAAGTCATATTGGTAGCAATAGTATAAAATGTGATGTCATCAGACAGATGCAGCTAAGATATTAGGAGCATGAAGTAGAATCCTGTCCCAGAAGCAGAGTAAGAGGAAGTGACCTTTATGCATATTGGCCAACACTCTCATTTCCAGAATAGACAGGGAATTCAAGGAAAGTAAGAGTCGGAGATGGACCATGGAAAGTGTGGAAACTGGAAACTAAGCTAATTGAAATTTCCAGCTCAGGATGAGACCAGGAGATGACACTGATACAGACAACAATGTACTGGAAGAGTGGTGAGGGCTTTGACCTGAATAGGACTGGGACAAAGAATGTGTTACTTACCTTACAAAAATAATACAGAACACTAAGACAGAAGCAAAAAATTGCAAATGCTGGAAATGTGAAATAAAGAACAGAAAATTCTAGACGTATTTGATAGGAAAGAGAGCATTTGTGGAGAAAGAAATAGAGTATTGATTAGATTAAACACAGTTTGGGTGATTCATTTACAGAAAGCTTTCCATTCAGTTTGCAAGCATGACCTGAGCATCCTTTTTAATTTTAATTCTCCAATTGCTCTTGTTTTGAGGTCCCTACCCCACCCACCACTGCAATTTTCCAGTGAAGCTCAGTGTAAGCTTGAGCAAAAGCACCTCCTATTTTGATTAGCCACTTGAACGCCTACTGGACTCCATGTCAACAATTTCAATCTTTACCCCATTTTGATTCTTCTTTTCTTTTCATTTTCTGGTTTTGTTCTTGTTTTTCTCTTACCTTTGCTATCAGATGGAAGCTTTCATCATCCTGCTGTTCCCACTTCTTTTAGACACGTCGGCCTAGATCTTCAGGTTTCCTGCTTGTTGCAAACTAAAAGTACAGTCCACTGTGTGTAACTGGACCTTGCGGATGTGCCAGTGTTTGCCCTCCATGGGAATTACTCAGGGGCATTTTGAGTTTCCCACTGACAATTCCCCTGCTTTTCATGATTCTCCACAAAAGTCCGTGACTGTGAGCTACAGTCAGAAACTTTGGGCAGTTCCTCCAACCTTGCCTTAGTGGTTACCCAGGAAACGTTATACATACTTAAAACCTAATCTGATGCCTGTTATTTCAGAACTGCAACTTCATAGTAACCTCAGCCATTGCAGGAATTAAACCCACACTGTTGGTATTACTTTACTTTGCAACCCAACTGGCCAACCAACTGAGTTAACCAACCCCCTGTCTCAGATGTAACAGAAATAGTTATTGAGCATTATGTGATAAGCCTTTACTGTTAATAAAGATTGAGCCTCTCCTCTGCATAAGACAGAGGATCCTTCCTAACTATCTGGTACTTGGACTAATACCAGTTAAAAGGATTAGTAGCAGTGGATCTACCCAAGATATCTCAGATCATTCCAATGAACATGACCACGACATATATCATGCTGAGTGAGAGGTGGGTTTTGTCATAAATACCTGATATTTTCAAAAATCCTCTAAAGTGCACAATACTGAACTCCAAACAGGGCCTTCTAACAGAGATTCAATGCAATTTCAAAAGAGAGGGTGGTACAATTAACTGTTTATTGCATATAACCTCCAGGAAAAATGGCAAGAGCAGAACAGCAACTAAACTCTATTTACTTATAGGATTAAAGTCCTTGACACAGTTAGTAAGTAGCAAGCTGTCTTCTTTCTTGAATAGTAGGTCGTTTTGTGATTTATTTTGATTCACAAGTAGAGTGAAAGGAGGCTGTGGCCCCTGCCCTGTTCAGCTTGATGTTCTCTGCCATGCCTTTTAAATATTCTATATTAGGGAAATAGAATCCACATCAGGTCTTATAAAGATGGTAAAATCATCAATCTGAGGAGAATACAAATGAAAACCAAAATGCCTGAAGCCTTGGTCATGACTGCAGTTGCATTGATGAATGACCCTGAAAGTCTTTATCAGGTCAAGAAATGCAACATACCATGGACCACTTCTTATTGGCGTGTGATAACTTTGGACTCACTGACAGCATTGAAAAGACTGAAGTCATGTACCAAACTGTCCCACAAAGCACTGTGAAGCCAACTATTATTGTTAATGGTCAAACACTTGAAGCAGTGAACAAATTTACCTACTTCACCGTGCCCTCTGCAAGATAGTTCTCATTGATGGCAAATTCAATAAATAAAAGCTAAGATCAGATTTGCCTATTACAAAATACAAAACTGTATGGTAGTGAAGAGGAATTTGTCTCTGAGCACAGATAGCAAGAACTGCACATGCTGGAGTCAGAGATAAGTGTGGAGCTGGAGGAACACAGCAGGCCAGGCAGCATCAGAGGAGCAGGAAAGTTGACGTTTCAGGTCGGGACCCTTCTTCTGAAGTCGGGAGGGGGAAGGGAGATGGGACATAAATAGAGAGATGACGGGTAGGGCTGGGGAAAGTAGGTGGGATGGTAATAGGTGAATGCAGTTAGGGAGTGGTGGGGATTGATCAGTGGGATGGGTGTGGTGGTTAGGTGGGAGAGAAGATTGACAGGTTGTGTCAGGTCAAGGAGGGGGGGGATGAGAGGGAGGGTTGGACATGGAGTGAGGTCAGAGGTGGGGAGATTTTAAAACTGGTGAAATCCATCTTTAGGCCTTCGGGCTGTAGGCTCCCGAGGCAGAATATGAGGTGCTCTCCTCCAGTTTGCAGGTGGTGTTATTGTGACACTGGAGGAGGCCCAGGATGGACATGTCACCCAGGGAGTGGGAGGGGGAGTTAAAACGGTTGGCGACCAGAAGGTGTTGTCATTTGTTGCGTACAGAGCACATATGCTCTACAGAACGGTCTCCGAGTCTATGCTTGATGTCACCGATGTAGAGGAGGCCGCATCGGGAAGAGCGGTTCACCTGCACATCCGTCAACTTGGTCTATTGTATCCACTTTAATGGCTTGGATCTAATGACCCCTCCTCAGAACTGACCCGAAACGTTAACTCTGATTATTTTTTCCACAGGTGCTGCCAGACCTGCTGAGCTTTTCCAGCAACTTCTGTTTTTGTTCCTGATTTACAGCATCCGCAGTTCTTCTCGTTTTTATTATACATTTACTTTCTTGCTATCTTTTGTTCTTTTTTAATCAGATTTTTGTTTGAAGTTACAGATATAGGATAGAAACTGTTTGGTGTGTATATGGAGACATGGTGACTAACTGAAGAAATTTGAGGCTTCTAGTTCCTGAGGCTGCATAGAGTGAAATATTGCATTACGTATCATTTCTTGGTTTGAGCACAGCAAGCCTGCATTGAGCAGTTCAAAGTCAGGTGTAGACAGGACTAGTAAACTGCATGATTAAAGTTTCTGCTCTGTTACTAAAATTCATATCAATTCCAATCTCATAGCAACTCTTAATTATTTTTGTCACCATATCATTACATCTGATTTCAGTGAAACTACCAAATTAATGTTGAATTACACACATTTTCCTGAACGTACAGGAAAGTTATAATCTGAATTGAGACAGCCCAAATTCATATTTCTGGAACATGTTCAAAAGGAGAAATGCAAAGATTTTAAACCCATTAGTTTTGTTTGGATTTAAACTGAGTCCTATAAGTGCCAAGGCATGATACTTATTGCTATTGAGGTGTTAAATATGATATAGAGTTGCCACTCTTGACTTTGAAATCTCAGTCTCTGGATTCACACCCCAATCCAGAAACATGATGGCATGGTTGGGCTGACACTTCGTTGCAACACAAAGGGAGGGTTGAATGTGTCATTAAATTGAAAGCCCTACGATTATAAATGTATTGGCAAAGAAGAGGAGATAAGTTCTCTAACACAAACAGACAGAGCTGGAGAAATTCAGCCAGTCTGGCAGCATTTGCAACAAGAGAAGCATTTCAAGTCCAGTAACCTCTAGTCAGAACTGAAAACGGCTGGGAAAGGGTGGCATTTATGTTGATAATGGGGGTGGGTTGAGGAGGGTACGGAATGTAGTGTGGTAAGAGAATGGAGTACATGGAGATGGTGCCCAGACAGAGATTAAAAAAGAAGATAGACAAAGAGATTGCAGATGATAAACCACAAGAGAAATATTGCTAGGATAGCATTAACTCAGTTTATTATCCGCAATCTCTTTCTTTGCCTTTCGCTTTTCCCTTCTGCCTGTCTCTGTCTGTCTGGGCACCATCCCCATGTATTCTATTCTGTCCAACCCCCAACCCCACCCCGTCACCAATATAAATATCACTTCCTTAGCTACTTTCCGTTCTGACAAAGGATCACAGGATTCGAAAAGTTAACTTTGCTTCTCTCTCTACGGATTCTTCCAGACCTGCTGAATTTTTCCAGCACTTCCTTTGTTTTTCAGATTTCCAGTATCCATAGTTCTTTGCTTTTATTTAGGAGAGTTCTCCAGATTCCCATATAATAGTTTTCCCTCACCAGCACTACAAAAAAGCAGATTCCTTGAATATTTAACAACCAGCTGCTTCTGTGACCTTGTGACATGTGGTTTGCTTGATGTGTTTCGCCATAACTCAATGGTGACCACACATCAAAACAAATCATATGTGACTGTAAAGCAATTTGGGATGTTTGACATCATGAAAGGCATTATATGAATGCAAGTTCTTAATACTTTAGAAATGACACTATTATCAGATGAGCAGCACAGACATCTATCAAAAGAAGGATCCATTCAGTTCTGCTTCTTTACAGATATTTTTGTATCTTTTCTTGTTCTGTTACTTTGCTAGGAGGCTTTTAAAAGTGGCATCCACCGAACTGTCCATGCAGGTGAAGTTGGACCCTCTACAGTGGTCAAAGAGGTGAGGCAGTGTACGTGGTTATTTCCTTCTTGTTTTTTAATATCTTAAATCAATTTGAACTTTGAATTCCTATACAAAATGGTTCTGACATCAAGTCATGGTCTTGTTTAACCACCAAATCAGTTTCTCTTTGAGAAATCATGGAGTGTTTGTAGCGCAGAAGAGGGCTATTTAGCCGTCTGGATGAGCAATTCTCCTGTTACCATTAGTACCTGCCTTTTTTATAGCACATTTTATCAGATATCAGCTGTAAAATAATTCCCTTTTGAATGCCTTGACTGACTTTGTCGCCATTACGGTCTTAGACAGTACATTCCATATCACATCCCTCAAGGCCTTCAGGTACGTTTTAAACCTTCAAAATTTGGACCTACCTTCGATGCTCCACACTCACAACACCTTCAATGCCTCCAGCAACAATTCTCTCTCCGGATTCTCCGCTCAACCCTCTCTGCAAAGCACCGACACATCCATTCCCTCTCCTCATCCTTCCCCCAGCTCAAGGCCTCCCTTTCCCAAACTTGTGGAGGACCTCTACTCTTCTGTATTCAATGCGGATTCCACACGCTCAACAAACGACTTTTCTGCTTCATATCAGACATTAAAAATCGTAAGTTTGCAAGACTCTCCGCTACTCACCTCCAGCCAGAGAACCCACTTACCACTCACAATCCGCGCCCTGTTTCCGGCCACCTCCAGGCCCCCCGATGTTGCCGCCACCATTATGCACGTGCAGGCCTCCCCCTGCATTGGGCCTCTCCAGTCTGACGATACTTCCAGCTTGGATGCCGCTTCCAGTTCCGGTCTGGCAGCCCAGCCTCCTCAACCACCGACTGGGATCTACTGGAACTTACTTTTAACCTCTGTCTCTGCTCTGGACGACTCCACAAACCGATGAGAGGATTTCACCGATGAGAGAACTGGGAACTGCCTCAACTTCCCTGCAACTTCCACCTCCACTCCGGACTCTGCCTACTGTCCAATCAATACATGGACTCCTATCCCCAAGGTCACTCCTGGGTCCTGCTGCCCACCTGCAATTAGACAGCACACCTCTCCCGCCTCATCCGTCCACCTCCACAATACACCCTACCCCACCGCCTCTCCTCCTCCTGTCTACCTCATCTCTACCACACTCCTCCCCCCATCCAATCCCCATCCTACTCACCAGCCCACTACCATCCCCACCCTCCTTTCCCTCCCACAACTACTCCCCCCCACCATCACACCACGTCCAACCCTCACCCATCAGATGCTATCACCACACCCCCCAGCCTCCTTGAGACATCCCATGAACCTTGCCACATATTCACCATCCCCCGACCTTGAACTCTCTGAAGCCAAACTGTCTGTCCTCAGTAAATGGCTCACACTTGTGCCCCTCTGCCCCCATCTCAATGAGTTCTGTGCCCACCACGAAGTGGAACTCTTCTTCTACTAAATCCGCCCCCATGTCTTCTTTTTCGATAAAGGCTCCCAACCACCTTCCAGGGACCCCTTTTTCCGCCTCCAAACTTCCTTCTCCTCTTGGACGTACCCTGCCAGCCTCTTACCCACCCTGGACCTCTTCATTGCTAACTGCCAATGTGACATTGACCATCTCGATTTCTCCACCCACTCCAACCACTTCCCGTCCGAATATGTAGCTCTCTACTCTCCCTGCACCAATCCCTATTTCACTATCAAACCCGCTGACAAAAGCAGGGCGGAGGTAGTCTCGAGGACGGACCTCTATGTCTCAGAGGCTGAACACTAACTCTCTGACACCACATCCTATGTTCCCCTTGACCACAACCCCACCATGGCCCATCAAGCCACCATCATCTACACGGTCCATGACCTCATCGCTTCCAGTGACCTCCACTCCACTGCTTCCAGCCTTATAGTCCCCCAGTTCCGCACTGCCCGGTTCTACCTGCCCCCCCAAGATCCACAAACCCAACTATCCCGGCTAACCCATCGTCTCCGCATGTTCCTGCCCCGTTGAACTCGTCTCTTCCTAAGTCAACTCCATTCTTTCCCCCTTGATCCAGGCACTCCCCACCTACATCTGGGACACAAACCACGCCCTCCACCTCTTTGGAAACTTCCAGTTCCTTTGGCCCCAGCGCTTCATCTTTACTATGGACGTTCAATCCCTATACATGTCCATACTCCATAAGGACGGCCTACAGGCGCTCAGATTTTTCCTCTCCAACAGACTCATCTATTCCCCCCCCCCCGCACCGACCAATATCCTCCTTCACCTCACTGAACTCGTCCTCACCCTCAATAACTTTTCCTTTAATTCTTCCCACTTTCTCCAAATCCAGCGGGTTGCCATGGGCACTCTCATGGCCCCACCGATGCCTGCCTGTTTGTCAGTTATGTCAAACAGTCCCTCTTCAGTACGTATAATGGTACTGTTCCCCAACTCTTCCGCTGTTACATCAATGATGATGCACCCAGGTTGAACTGGAGCAGTTCATCGACTTCGCTAACAATTTCCACCCCACCCTCAAATTCAATTGGTCTATCTCAGATACCTCTCTGCCCTTTCTTGACCTCTCAATTTCCATTTCTGGCAACAGTTTATGGACCGACATTTACTATAAACCTACCGACTCCCATAGCTACCTAGACTACACCTTCTCCCACCCTGTATCCTGCAAAAACTCCATCCCATTTTCCCAATCCCTCTCTCTCAGTCGTATTTGGTCTGGTGGGGAGACGTTCCACTCCCAAGCATCCCGGATGTCTGCCTTTTTCAAACAACACTCTTTTCCCCCCTCTATCATCCAGACAGCCCTTCACCATGCCGCCTCCATTTCCCGCTCGACAGCTCTTAACCGCCCCCCTCCAAACGTAATAAATATAGAGTCCCCCTTGTCCTCACTTTCCACCCCACCCGCCTCGGTATCCAATGTATCATCCTCAAATACTTCTGCCAACTCCAATTAGACCCCACCACCTGGAATATCTTCCACTCCCCACCCCTCTCTGACCATTCCCTTCGCCACTCCTTAGTTCGTGCCACACTCCCCATCAACCATTCAAACCCCCCCCCCCCCCCCCCCCCCCCCCGGTACCTTCCCCTGTAATTGTAAAAGATGCAACATTTACCCACACACCACCTCCCTCACCTCCATTCAGGGCCCTAAACGGTCCTTCCAAGTGAGACAGAGCTTCACCTCCATCTCCTCCAAACTAGTCTTTTGCATCCGGTGCTCCCAATGTGGTCTTCTCTACGTCAGTGAGACCAAACGTAGACTAAGTGAATGTTTTGCCGAGCATCTTCGCCTGGCCCGTGATGGCCAAACTAACCTCCTGTCACTGCTCATTTCAACTGCCCATCCCACTCCCCCTCCAACTTGTCCATCCTCGGCCTCCTCCAGTGTTGCAGCGACTTGGAACACAAATTTGAAGAACAACACCTTGTCTTGTCTTCCGCCTGGGCACCTACAGCCTGGAGGACTCAACACTGAGTTCTCCAATTTCAAATAACCTTGCCACCCATCCCCTGCCTCCCCTTCCAGCCCCACCTCCTCCCTTCCATTCCATCTTCTGACCCTCCCTTCCAGCCACCTACCAGATTCATCCCTCCCGTCGACCAACCAGGTCATACCTACCACCAGTGTCCACCTATCACCACCATTCCCGCTACCACACCTCCTCCTCTCTTTATCTGCAGCTCCCCCTACCCCCACATCCAGTCCTAAAGAAGGGTAATACCCAAAACTTTTACTGCTCCTTTCCTCCAGATGCTGCCTTGCTTGCTGTGTTCTTCCAGCCTCCTGTTCGTCTACCTTAGATTCCAGCATCTGCAATTTGTTTGTCTCTAACCATCACATTCCACATCCTAACCTCACAGTGCATGTGAAAAGGTTTCCCTTTAATTGTTGTTTGTTCTTTTGCCAATTATCTTAAATCTGTGCATTCTGGTTTTCAGACAGTTTCTTCCTATCTATTCTGCTCTGACGCCTCATGATCTTCGAATACCTCTTAAAAAAAAAACTCATCGTAACTTTTTCCTCTCCAGTATATCTATGTAACTGCTTCCAGAATGAAAAATCTTTCCCTTGTGTTTTTATTGTACTCTCTCTAATACCTCCAGCTCCCCATCAAAAGTATATCACCCAGAACTAGATGCAGTGATCAGGTTGAGTACAAACCAATGTTTTGTAGACCTTTATCATATCATCTTGCTTCTATATTTTATGCCCTGTCTATAAAGCCCAAGACGCTATATTCTTTATTTATTGTGCTTTCAGCTTCTCTTGTCACCTTCAATGATGCACATACACCACTAGGGCCCTCTACTCCTGCACCCCTCTTAGAATTGTACCCTTTTCCTTTTGTTTAATTTGAACATATGAAATAGAAGCAGAAGTAGACCTCGACCCTATTCCACCATTCAAGCAGATCATGATTAATCTGTTTGTGTTTCAAACTGCACATGCCCACCTATCCATGCAACCTTTGATTTCCTTGCCTGACAAAAATCTAGTTGCCTCTGCCTTAAAAGATATTTAATGACCCAGCATTCACTGTCTTCTGAGTTCCAACGTCACACACCATCTCGGAGAAAAAAGAAGTTTTCCCATCTCTGTCCTTTTAGACCTTCCTATCTCTGTCCTTAAATGGTGAACAACCTTTCAGAACTTTACACACTTCAGTCAAATCCTTCCTCACTCTTCTAAACTCCAATGGAAACAAGCCTAGCCTACACAACCTCTCCATAAGACAACCCACTTTTTCTGGTATTGATCCAGTAAGCCTCCTTTGAATCGCCTCCAGTGCATTTATATCCTTCCTTAAATAAGGAGATTGAAACTGTATTTGAGATATCATCTCACCAATGCCCTGTATAACTGAAGTATAGTGTCTTTATTTCTATGTCTGTCTAAATTCTTTGTAACAAAATGAGTTACCTCACACTTCTGAGTTAAATTTCATCTGCCACCGATTCCACCAATCTGTTGATATCCTTCAAAATTCCACACTAACCTTCTGACAGTTAACAATACTTCCAAATTTCATGCCATCTGACAGGTTTGAAATATTGTCCCATATACCAAGGTCTAAGTCATAAATATATGGCATCCCTGCAGTTTGGAAGCAGGCCATTTGGCCCATCAAGTCCATACCAACTGTCCAAACATCAGTCCACTCAGACCCTGCCCCCTGCCCTATCCCTGTAACCCTGCATACTTCCCGTGGCTAATCCACCTAACCTGCATATCTCTGGACACCATAGGCAATTTAGCATGGCCAGTCCACCTAGCCGGCACATCTTCAGACAGTGGGAGGAAACCAGTGCACCCGAAGGAAATCTACTCAGACATGGGGAGAATTTGCAAACTTCCACACAGACAGTCACCCAAGAGTTGAGTCAAACCCGGGTCCCCGGCAACTTGAGCCAGTAGTGCTAACCACTGAGCCACCGTGCTGCCCTGATAAATATATATTTGCAACAGAAAAGGTCCTAACACCGATTCCTGTGAAACTCCATTATAAACATTCCTTAAGCCCAGAAAACACAGTTCTCTATTTCCTGACTCTCAACCAATTTCTTATTCATGTTGCTACTGTCACTTTTATTCCCTGAGCTCTAACTTTGATCTCAAGTCTGTTGTATTGCACTTAATGACACATCTTTTGGAGTCCACGTTTACCACATCAACGTGATGATTCTCATCAACTATCTCTGTTACTTCATCCAAAAACTCAAGCAGGTTAAACAGGAGTTATCCTTTTCAAATCTGTGATGGCTTTCCTTAATTAACTCATACTTGCCATAGTAACTATTAATTTTGTTGAGTGTTACCATTTTTAAAAGATTCTCCATCACCAAGCTTATGATTGTTGATATTGCTTGTTCTCAAACTTGATGTAAGACTGTCGTTTATAGTGGTCAAATATATTGGGCTAAACATTCATTCTGGCCCCTTTCCCAAGTTTCCCAATGTCATTGAGGTGGGCACCAACAATCTACCTACCTGATTTAAGTGATTGTAGCATCGAGCTAAGCAAGGTGCAAGTAGCTGGCCTGAGTTGGGCAGAATGAGCTAATCTTGTGGTGTAGCCAGACTGCTTTTCTTAAAGGCACTCTACCCCCTTAAAGGGGAACATCACTCAGTAGCAAGAGGTTGCTGCTGGCTGGCTGTCCTGACACAAACTGAATGTGGGAACTGCATAATTGGAGAACCAGGACAGTGAAAGGACTCTAATGTTCACAGATGTGCAGCTAGAGGTCTTGCCCATGCTAGCTGGGCAGCTGGAAATACATGAGCTTAAATTCGAGAACTAGAAGGTCCTGGAAGGTGGCCAGAGAGGTCAAAACAATGAGTTTGTCCCTGAGGATATGCCTGTAGTGCCACAAGAAATTTATTGATATGATGTCAGTGGTCAAGGTCAGTGAGTGCATCTTCAAAGGACCTCATACAAGTGATACCACCAAACCCTCACTACTCAATGCATTATAGCGTTATCAACCACCTATTAGCACTCCCTGACAGTCTGGACGCATGCCTAACCTTCCGATATTGTACTTCTTCCTTTCTTATTCCAGTGATGATAGACTGACTTCAGCTCATGCTTTTTCCAAGTATCTCCAGCTATTGCAGGCATATCATCCAAACACAATACTAAATGGTCACTGATATAACAAGGTGTAGACCTGGATGAACACAGCAGGCCAAGCGGCATCGGAGGAGCAGGTCTAGACCCTTCTTCAGAAATACTAAATGGTCACTGACATTCTGTCCTTCCTCTTGCAGAACAATGTTGCTCATAGCTGCCAGAAGTAGAAGAAACTTAGTGGAGAGAATCAGGATGCATTCATCTCTTGATCCTTTAGAGGAGGTGGTTGTCCACACTATGTGCTGCAACAGAGCCTGTCATACCCGGTGTCAGTGAAAACCTTAAGGATATAGTATATTTCTGTTGTATGCCAAATCTTAGTTTATCCTTATCCTGTTTTCTGGTATGATGTGCAAGCTGTTGATGGTGTGACCATGGATGTCTTGTTTTCCACAAACCAGGAAATCAAGCATGTGAGAAAGAGAGAAAAAGAAAGAGAGAGAGAGAGAGAGAGAGAAACTACAACACTGGTGGAGAAGAGTCCCATTATTTGATCTGACACTTGCAACTACCAGTTTAGATACTGGCACTGCAGGAAATTAAAGAGACTTGTCTAGATTTGGAGATCTGCATTTGTGAACTGCTAGGATTGTGTGGTCTGCAGCCAAGCAAGGGGGAAAGGTTAGTGTATGTGATGTAGATGACTTATACCACAGGGTGCTCAGATAATAGTTTCTACCGGTTAGCATACTGGAGAATGCTGAAAAGAATACTGACCAAGATGCTGAGTGCCTTGACTGACCTGCCAGACAGTCTCCTCTTGCTGTCAAGGAGCATAGAGGCTTCTGGCTTGAAATTGGCAGGAGCAGAACTTCTTCCCTCATAGTTTCTGTGCCATCTCCCTGACCAATGCCTGAGACACTATGATTGCAGCACCGATGTAAAGATATTTTGTCAAAGATAGTGCTGGAAGGAGAGCAAGTATTTTCAGGCTCATATTACAGACTGAAAACTTGAAAACGTAGGTCTTACTGTTGGCTTCCACGAATTTAATTATTGTCTTACATTTACTTACTGTGATTTATTTGTCGTTAGGCTGTCAATGTTTTGAAGGCTGAACGAATTGGACATGGGTATCACACAATCGATGATTCTTGTCTCTACGAGCATTTGTTAAAAAAGAAGATACATTTTGAGGTAGGCAGCTCCTGGAGGCATTTTTAATATTTAATTTTTTTCTTTTAATATTTTGATGAAATAGTTTAATCTTTTATGACTCAAAAGATCAGGATCTTCTGCATGACTGTTAATGGGCCGTATGTTTCTATTTGCTGAAGATTTGAAAGGGTTTAGTTAATGACATGTTGTTTATTTTTCAGATATGCCTCTGGTCCAGCTATCTCACTGGAGCTTGTGACCCAGATTTAATGAAGCATCCAGCTATTAGGTAAATTGCAGTCTCATATCTGTTGGGCCTGAGATGTGGTTAAAGTAATCCTGGATAATGGATTATTTTTAAATATCATATTAGTATTCGAAGAGTAGTTGCTGTTTCAGTAATCTCTGCTATCGTCACAACATTTGGTTTGTTAAAGTTTCTTACTGTTTGTTAAATTTTGTACAGCAAACTATAGGTTAATAGCACTGAGCGTTATTATTTTAAATTCCAGTACTGTGCATTGAAGATGATGCATATTTTCATCATGTTTGAGGTTGACCTACCTGCAGCCAGGTGGAAAACGGTAAAAGAGGTCAAATTGGTGGTCCCAGGAACTGCTGGTGACAGCCTGAAAGTAGACAATGTGCCCACATTGTTAGATGCTAAATATATGCAAATTTGGAGATAAAACTTTATGGAATATGAGGAAGTTTTTCCAAAAATTACCCTCCTTTAAATTTCTTGAAGTCACTAATCAGATTAGATAGGTGTGTGCCTATGGATGTGGTTTGTTTAGACTTCCAGGTGGTGTTTGATAAACTCTATTCAAGTGATTAGCAAAATAAAAATGCATGAAATTAAACATAGCTGAAAATTGATTCAGGAATGGAGACCAAGAGGAGCGTTAAAGAGAATGTTCTCTGATTGACAGGCAATAACAATTACTATTACCTTGTATTCCCTTACACTTAGAAAGTCAAGGTATTTCAAATTGGTAAGTTTTTATATATAATATATACATATATAAAAAACAATTAATTATTTCCTCTTGTGGGCAATGCCAGAACAAGAGAACACATTTTAAAATTGTATCAAAACCATTCAAGATTGATGTCAGGAAGCAAATTTTCATGCAGAAGTTTGGAAGAAATGTGGAACAGTCCCATTTAAAAGGCAACTATTGCTGGATCAACTGAAACATTCAAGGTGGAGTTTTACAGATTTAATTGGCTGACTGCAGCAAGGAATATGGCTGAAAGGTGGGTACGTGGAGTTGAGCTGCAGGTCAGCCATGATGTAGTTAAATGGTGGATGGATTTGCGTCGTTGAAGGCTTACTACTGTTAATATTGTTCTAATAACATTTAAAGAAACATTTGTGGTCTGGAAGGCAAAGGGGAAATTGGATGTGCAACGATGAAATTGGGAAATACAAATACAGTACTGAGTACACGTCCAAGTATTGTCAATGATGTAGAAAATACAGCAAGAGTCTGAAAAATGATGGAAATATTTATTGAGACAGGATTAATCAGTGGCCTCATAGTAAAACACATCCTGGGTAAGAATGGACAAAACATGACAGTATTTTATATTCAGTTGAAGAATGTGGATCTGAAACCAGTGTCGTTAACTTAAGTGAAGGCAGTTATAAAGGCAGGAAAACAGAGTTGGCTAAAATGAACTTAGAAAATAGATCACAAGATAACACATTAGGGAAGGAGGAGCAAACAGAAAAGAGATATTTTATAATTCTCAATAAAGCTTTATTCCATTGGGAAAGAAACATGCTACAAGAACGATGAACCATCCTTTGTTAACTAAGGAGGTATCAGATGAAAAGAGAAGATATATAGTTCTGAAATAACTAGTAGTAGCCCAGAAGATTGCGAACATCTTTAGAGAGCAATAAAAGAGGACTAACAAAAAAAAGGAGAAATTAGAATATGAGAAAAACTAGCAAGAAATATAAAACGGACAACAAAATCTTCTATGAGTATATAAAAAAGAAGAGAATAGCTAATCATCATTTTCTTAGGTCATGAACCTGGGGAATTAATAATGGAAACAAGAAAATAAATAATTGAATAAATAACTTGTGTCTGTCTTCACAATTGAAGATACAGAAAGCATCCTATGAATGCTAGGAAATAAAAGTGCCAGAGGGAGGGAAGAACTCAAAACAATCACCATCACTAGAGAAAATGCAGTGTAAAAACTAATGCACGTAAAGGCTGACAAGTCCCCAGGAATTGAACGTGTACTTTCTATGGCCTGGAAAGAAGATGGTGCATTGTTTGTAGCCTTCCAAAATTCCACAGATTCTGGAAACTCCCAGGAAATTGGAAAACTGTCAATGTAATACCACTATTCAAGAAAAGAGAGAGAAAGTTGGAAGCTTTGGGGCAGACAGTCTAGGCTGTGTTTGTTGCCATTGCAACTGCAAGAATTACACTCAGCACCTATACATTCACAGTGCCTGTGTCACTGCCAGTAATGTCAAATACTTGTGTAATGGCTTACACAAAATAATTTTTCAGTACTTCTACCATTAACTTTTTGTATTTAGATGTAAAGGACATGTCAAAAATAGGTGATTTTGTGCTATACCAATTCATGCTTTTGGTTTATTTAGTGTAGCAGCCTGGTGACCTTGAAACCATTGACCCAGAGAAGCTGTCAGAAAAAGCCTTCACTGCCTATTCCATCACCTCACTCGCTGTCCGTTCCCTGATTGAAGCAGTGAGCCAGGCAATGAGTGGGAGCAATGAGTGAGGCAGAGAATGGGGAAGGGGTGCAGTGATTGAAATGGCAGATGTTGAGGTGAGGGTGAGTGGGGCAGTGAAGAAAGCAAAGAGTTGTGTGGTGAGGAGGGTGGAGAATGGAACAATGAGGAGAGTTGAGAATGACACAATAAGGGGAACAGTGAACTGTGTGTCAAAGAAGGGACAGTAACAATGGGTTCACCACAATGACATCAGTCATATCAAAGATAGTAGGAACTGCAGATGCTGGAGAATCCGAGACAACCAGGTGCAGAGCTGGATGAACACAGCAGGCCAAGCAGCATCATAGGAGCAAAAAGGCTGACGTTTTGGGCCTAGACCCTTCATCAGTCATATCAAGTTCTTTTTCTGGTGTGTTAGCAATGGTACAACGGTCAGTTTAACACCTGTCATTGGGAAATTCTTAAATGCATTATAAGGAAATAGTAACAAGATATTCAGAAAATCATAATACAACCAGGCAGCTCAACATGGATTTGTGAAAGGGAAATCATGTAGACCCTGTCCTTTTCTGATTTTAAACGCAAGTGCCAGGCGGTGTGTTCCAGATGAAATTTGATTTATCAAACTAATTGACTTTAAGCAAAACACACTTTGTATTTTAACTTTAGTGTAAAAATAGACAAAATAAAAATAAAGAATTGACTTAACTGTAACTCTACCGAAATGCTTAACAAAATAATGTATATATTATTTACTACTAATTGAATGTTCCAATATAGTAACATCCCATAAACACACCCTTGTCAAAGGCAAATTCAGTAAGACAGATTGTCTCACATGTAATCCTAGCAGCAGGAAGGGAACCCCAGCTTTTACTTGTAACTGAGAGAGGAATTAGAGCTTCCATGTCCAGCTTCAAGATCCCAGCAACTACAGAAAACTAAAACTAAAAATCCTGGTTCTGTGGAATCTTGCTTCTATTGTTCCAACTTCAAAATAAATCCAAGGCCTCACAAGCTGTTTACTTTAATTGGCATTTAAATGTCTGCTCTATGCCTCTGTCTCAAACTTTCTTCATAAGGAAAGGACAAAATACTCCTGTTAAAGCCATAGTATTGTCACACTAACAAATAGCGTGGGTAAAGGGGAATGAGTAGAAATAAGTACTGTATTTAGGTTTCCAAAAGACACTTGACTACATAACTCGCAAAACCTTCATGCGAAAGTTAAGAGCCTTTGTTTTTGTGGGTGATGTGTTAACGTGATTAGAGGATTGGCGAACTAACAGGAAACAGAATTTGGGTACATCGGTCATTTTCAGGTTGGCAAACCGTAACTAGTGGAGTAACACGGGGATCAGAATGTCAGAAAATTTGAGGTTTCAGCTATAGCAGGAAGAATAGAAAAGCGGAAAGCTAATTAAATGGAGAGAGATGCAGAATGTGTAGCACAGAGATATTTTGTACATGTTACCATTTATACAAATCACAAAAAGTTGTTATGCAAATATAAGTTCAATTTGCAGTTGGAATATTAGCTTTTATTACGAAGGCAATATCATATAGAAGTAGTGAAATCCTGTGACAGCTGTACAGGCAATGGTGAGACTGCAGCTGTGTACAGTTTTTATCTTCGTACTTATGGACACTTGAGCTGAATGCAGTTCAGTGAAGGTTCACTAGACTGTTTCCTGGGATGAAGGTTGTCTCATGAGGAAAGTTGAGCAGGTTGGGCCTATCCCATTGGAGCTTAGAAGAATGAGAGGTGTTCCTGTTGAAACATATAAGATTCTGAGAGATGTTTTCCCCCATGGGGGTTTCTAGAACTAGAGGTACAGTTGAAAATTAGGCGTCTCCCATTTAAGATGGAGATGTTGAGGAACTATTTTTCTGTGAGGATTTTTGGTTTTTGGAATTTGCTTCCACAGAGAGCATTGGAGGCTGAATCATTGAATGTATTCAACGCTGAATCGAACAGATTTTTGACTGATTAGAGAGTTAAGAGTGTGGAGGGGAGGCATAGCAATGGATTTAAGACCACAATCTGCTCATCCATGATCCTTTCAGATGGCGGCGCATGTCCAGTGGGCTGAAAGGTCTGGCTTTTTTATTGTGTTCCTATTTCTTACATTCTTATGATTAAAAAATCTGACAAAGTCAATTATGAAGCATTTCACAGCTGGCTGTGATTATAGAAATGGCTGGAAGGAGGGATAGAACTGATGACATATAAGGGAAAAGTCATAGTGTTGGAACATGATTCCATTGTCTTTACAGTGCAAAGGTACCATATGTGACTTTTTATGACTGTTGTCTTTAATCATTCTACAATTATATATTGACAGATTTAGAGAGGACAAAGCAAATTATTCTCTGAATACTGATGATCCATTGATATTCAAATCTACACTAGATAAGGATTATTGTATTGCCTCAAAATACATGGGTTTCACAGAAGATGATTTCATGGAAGCGGTAAGTCAGTGCTGGAGTTCTAGTGCATAAATTAAGTATAACCTATTTTCTAGTTAATCTCTTAGCAAATACATCTTCCTAGTTAAAACATGCATATTACTGCATATTTAGTGAAGTTTACTGAGTTTATAATGGACCAGGTTGAGACTTTCTAAAATGTAAAGATTACATTTATATGTCAACTTAATATTCTGGTAGATTTATTTTCTTGAACTATTTAAGATCGTGAGGAGTTGTGACAGGTTTGATGTGGAAGACTTGTAGAGAATTTAGAAGCAGCTATCCCATTTAATAATAATTGGTGTTTAATAATTTCAGACAGAGATAAGAAGTTCTTTTGCAGGGGAGCATGAAACTTTAGAATTCTCATCCTCAAATGGCAGTAGAAGCAGAGTCCCTGAATATTTTTAAGGAAGAAGTTAATAGATTCTCAAGCAAGGAAGTGAAAGATTATTGGGGATAGCTGGGAATGTGGAGGAATCAGATCAACCATGAATTTATGGATTGGCAGAGTAAGCTTGAGGGGCTGAGTATCCTAATTCCACTCCTACTTCTTATGTTTGTATGTAACTGGTTGTTTAATGTGGACTTAAATTCACTGTGGGCCAGAAGAAAACTACTAACAGTGTAGGATTTAGAACACAGGTGCTGAATTCAATTTCTGTGGTAATTCTGATCCAACATTCAAATTGTCTTAGTTAATAAGACGAGTTATTGCATGATAACAATAAGTGCAAGTTGTATCACTTCTCTGCATATTTGTAAGGACTTAGATGGTCCTTTCATTGTTATTGCTATTTAACCTCCATGTCCTACAAACATAAAGAACTGTGACATATGCTAGGCCAGAGTATTTTAACATGTCTGCAGATAAGCTGACTATCACATTTAAGTGCCTTACCATTTGTTAACTAATTGAGAAAGGAAAATTATCACTTAGGATTTTTGCTTCCAGAATCTGAATAAGTTTTTAACTTGTTCCTCCTGTTCCTTGTTTAATAAGTGGAAGAATCAAAGAAAAGTTAAAAATGGGGAAAAGATCTTTTGGCCAGTTGAAGATAATTAGTTATTGAGTTAGCTAATTTCTTTGACAAATCTGAAGCGTCTGAAAAATCTTTAATAGCAAGAAGATGTTCTTGGATAGATCAGTCAAAGTTAGGTTTGTCCTTGTATTTCCTTACACAGTAATTTCCTGATCATTCTAAGATACTGAAAAAGTGCCAACAGTGAATCAACTGTGGATTCCTACAGACTTTCTAGTAAATTTATCCTGAAGTATGGAAGAAATCAAATTTAAGTTTTCCAATTTCTTTATCTTACAAGTAATGTTTTCTATGAAATATTTTAAATACAAATAACTGTTTGATAACTGATGTTTTATGCTAACCTACAGAATATAAATGCAGCTAGATCCTGCTTTCTCCCTGATAAAGAAAAAGAAGAACTTCTGTTGACACTATATGACGCTTATGGAATGGTACAGAGCACTGTGTGTTAAACAGCTACTGACAAATAATCCATACAAATAGGAAATTAGTCTTCGAAGTGACTGTGTAATACATATAATTACAGACAGAAAATTGAAATTGTTTGTGAATGTCATTAATAACTGTTCAATTTATGACCATTGCATAATACAACTCTCTTTGTGACCTTATGAGGAGAATGCAATACAGCCTAAATTGACTTCATGATTTCAATAATTTTCAAGCTCTTTCCAAGCAAAAATGTGACTCCATCTTGTTTATGATGTCCAAAATTATTCAGGTAATACTTTTAGAGAATTATTTAAGATGCACAGAACATTGCTTCATAAAGTTCTGCTTTCATGTAGAACATATCATTTAGTCTGGTACCTCATTTACAAATATCCCAAAGAATAACTAAACCATAGGTAATAAAAGATTTTTGATGCGCCTGGTTTGTTCAGTTACCTTAGTTAGCTGTGGTGGCACAACCAGGATTGTGGGCAAATTCCAATATATGGGATACCGACTTAGACACTAGATTTCATATCAATAGGCATCACATAATTATATCATTTCGCTGATGCAATGTACGTGAAGAGAAATTGTTTCTTCGGTTTAATATCCATGGAATGTGATTGGGAAAAGAGAAGCTGGGAGGCTTGATCATTTCTGTCAGAGGACACAGTTGTTCTCTCAGACTGAATGCACATTATTGGTGGATATTTGGAATTATATTGATGCTCTATGATCAGCAATTGTTGAATGAAATTTCATTTACAATCTTTGACTTCAAAGTGATTAGTTTGTTGTTATTAGGAAGTGAAGTCAACCAATTTTCAGTAAAGGAAGACCAAAAGCAGACCTTCCAGACAATTTGGTGGTGTTATTTCAACCTTGATCTGGATCTTCCATCAAATAAATACTTGGGTACTTAAAATTTATTGTGTAAGTGTGGTCAGTATATTCACATTTTGCTATAAGAACTAAATTTGAACTATTTCTCTCCTGTTAACGTGCTTAGTATATGTAACTGTACAGGTAATCTATTGAAGCATTTACAATATATTTTTTGTTTATCTCATATTCATCAATGAATGTTCTTTTATACTATACTAGCAGCTATGATAAATATGAGCTTTTTGACATCTACCATTAGTTATTTCCTCAACTTTTTTGGAGCCAAAGTCTAAAGGTTCAAAATCCACCTGGTTCACTGTTATCCTTTAGGAAAGGAAATTGCCATCTTTACCTGATCTGCCTATATGTGACTCCACATCCATGGCAGTGTGGTTGACTCTTAACTGCCTTCTGAAATGGCCTAGCTAGCCACTAAGTTCCAGGCCAAATAAGGATGGGCAACAAAAGCTGGCCTTGACAGTAATGCCCACAATCCCATGAAAGGATACAGAAAGAAATCTGTGAACATTTTAGTTGCATCATCCTTGCTCTGGTCTTCACATGACAAAACTCGTCAATAACACTTCTTCAATGTAGAAATGATTAAGTTACCATTGCCTCTGTGTTTAACTTTCTTAGAAGGCTTAGTAATGAAGCATTTTGCACAGCCATTTTTTTGAGCGAAACACTGCTGATGTTTACTCACAGCTCCTCAAATTACACCAGCAATGTATATTGCTGAAAGTTCTTTTTTCAAAAGTTTATGGGAACAGTTCAAGATTGATGTCCTTTATTAAATGTGAGGAAGGAAGCATTGCATATGCCTTTTATAATTCATTCCTCTACGAAGTGCAGCTAATGTATATTTACAGATTTCACATGTACCAAGGCTTTTTTTAAATATATGACTTCGCAAAAGGTACAAAAACATTTTGGAATAGAGACTTTTCCAAACTCTATTTCAAACTATTCATGAGTTACAGTGGTGTTCATCGAAATGTTTATCTCTACACTATGTAAATTAGACTGATCTACAACTACAGAGCGTGGCTACCAATTCAATAAATGACATTCCTCTACAGAAAACTCATTCAAAAGAACTTGATTAATATTTTGACCAGAGATGCTCTGATTTTAGAAATCAACTTGATGTGTGAAGATGTCTTATAAAGTGGAATTAAATAAATACATTAACTTGAATAATTAAAATAAATATTTTTTAAGAAGTTAATGCTGTGTTCTTCATATACTTACTACTATGGAGTTGGCAAAAGGTAAAAGAGAAAATTTTTATCAAGACTGAATCATTAACATTTAGCTTATAAAATTATTTTATAGATTTGTCTAGAAATAGATTTAAGTATCATTTAGGAGCACAATTTGCATAATTCCTCTATTAAAAGGCATGTATTATTTCCATTTGTGATTGAAAAGAGTGAAGAACAAAAACTTATATCATTTGAATGCTATTTTTTATTCATTTATGAGAAATGGGCATCGCTAGCTAGGCCAGCATTCATTGCCCATGTTTAATTGTCCTTGAGATGTTGATGGTGAGCCTGCTTGTTGAACCACTGCAATCCTTTCAATGTAGCTACGTTTAATGAACCAACATTATTATAGAAGGTGTTCCAGGATTTTGACCTAATGACACTGAAGAAGCAATGTAGCTTGGAGGGAAAGTTGTAGTTGGTGGAGTTCCCATGGGTCTTTTGTTTTTCACGTTGAGCCTACAGGTTTAGAATGTGTTGTCAAAAGAACATTGCAAGTTTCTGCAGTGCAGCTTGTATATGTTAAACAAGACTGTTTTGTTCTGAATGCTGCTGAGCATCTTGAATGTTGTTGGAGCTGCCCTTAACCAGGCAAGTGAAAAGTACTCCCATCAGACTCCTGACTCATACCTTGTGGACAGGCTTTGGAGAGTTAGGAGATGAATTTCTTAACAGAATTCCCAGCCTCCTACTTACTCTTGAAGTCATAACAATAATGTGGCTTGTCCAGTTACAATTTTTATTAAACATTGTATGCATTGCTAACCATCCTGAAAGGACGAGCAATTTATTGTAATTTCCAGGAATATGTAATCTAATGAATAATGTGATGGCTCTGTTGCGTACTTCAGTCAATGTATTGTGCAGCTGAGTAACTGCTATGGTAGTAAAGGTCTGTACAATGAAGCATGGAAAATTCAAACTCAATTAGAAAGAACAAACATAGTTTTAATTGTATTACAGATGCCTATAAATTTGCTGGCAACCAAGTGACCAGAATTCTGTCTATAAGAATATAATAGCATAATTAATTTGATCTTTACCACAACAGATGCAGGGGTGTGTTAAATAATTTGAAACTCCATCCTATATTAAACCCCAGTTCCTAGCAAAAGGTTATATAGATATTTTGCCAACGAGGGACCCCCAATCTAAACTTCAGTATTGTTTATAAAATAACTTGACTTGCTTTTAACTTCAGGTACCATAATTTTCTCAAATTTTAACTGGAAAGAAATTCAAACAAACAAAATGCTACGTGCAAATTAATTATAGTCGAAAATCTAATGTTACTTTTGTAAAAGGGAAAAGGTAATACTGGAATAAAAAGGCAAAGATGTTAGACAAGATATATTTTCAGTAATAATCCCTTTCATGATCATGAGATTTTCCAAAGCACTTTCCTGTCAATGAAATATTTTTGTAAGTGTACCTTATTCAGTAGGAAATGCAGCAAAAAATGTATACACAGCAAAACTCAAAAAGTAGCAACCAGATAATGAATCTGTGTTAGTAGGAACTGCAGATGCTGGAGAATCCGAGACAACAAGGTGCAGGGCTGGATGAACACAGCAGGCCAAGCAGCATCATAGGAGCAGAGAGGCTGACGCTTCGGGCCTAGACCCTTCATCAGAAAAGGGGGAGGGGAAGGGGGTTTTGAAATAAATAGGGAGAGAGTGGGAGGCGGATAGAAGAATGAATCTGTGTATTGTGTTTTCAGTTGAGCGAAATATCAGCCAGGACTCCAGAGGAACTTTCTTACTTTTCTTTGTCCTGTACCACAGGATATTTAACAAAAAGACCCCATCATAGTTTGGCAGATTGTTGAAGTAATGACATGTCAGACAATGCAGCATTCCATGAATACAACTCTGGAAGCCTAGAAGCAAAACATTCCATACATTGCTTTACTGTGGAAGCCATGTTTGCGGTCTAGTGTCTAACCAATTTACTTTACAATCTGCTCTAAAACAGCATTTTTAATTTGTGCAATTCAGCTGTTTAGAACTGGATGGATCATTACTGCGCTTTTTCAAAAGTGACTACTTATCAGGCATTGAGAATGGCAAATGCAAACTGGCTGTAAGCAGGAATGCATCATAGGCAGAGTGTAAATGTTGGGAATTTGGTGCAAGTGGAACTGTACAAGCAAGAAACCAGAGTAGGTCACTCGGCTCTTCAAGCCTGATCTGACATTCAATAAGATTATGGCTGATTTGATTTGATTTTGAGCTCAACTCTACATTCCTGCATACCTTTTGATAATCTTTCATCCCTTTGGTAATAAAGGATCTATCTAATTTTGCCTTAAAAAAAAATTAATGGTTCAGCATCCACTGCCTTTTGAGGGAGGGAAATCCAAAGACTCTCAACACTCGAACAGAAATGTTTCCTCATCTTTGTCTTAAATGGGTGATCCCTAATTTTTAAACTGTAACCTTTAGGTCTAGATTCTTCCACAAGAGAACCAGCCTTTTGACATCCACCGGGTCAAGTCCTGTTAGGATCTTATATGCCTTAATTGGCCGGGACATTGAATATAAAAGTTGGCAATTTATGTTACAGCAGTATAAAATTTTAGTTAGGCCTCATTGGGAATATTGCATGCAGTTATGGTCACCACACTACCAGAGGATATGGATGCTTTGGAGAGGGTGCAAAGAACGTTTACTAGGATGTTGCCTGGTCTGGAGGGTTTTAGTTTATAAGGAGAAGTTGGATAAACTCATTGTTTTCACTAGAAAGACAGAGGCTGAGCGGTGACCTAATATAGGTCTGAAAAATTACAAGAGTGGATAATCAGAGGTTTTTTTCCCAGGTAGAAAGGTCAACTACAAGAGGGCACAGATTCAAGGTGAAAGGAGGAAAGTTTGTGGGAGAAGTACAGGGAAAATATCCCACACAGTGGATGGTGGCTTCCTGGAATGCATAGCCAGTGGAGGTGGTGGAAAGAGACATGTTAGCAATGTTTTAAGGTGTATCTTGATAGACACATGAACGGGAGGAGAACAGAGGGATAGAAACCATGTATGAGCAATAAGTAGCAAGTCTAAATAAGGATCAGGAATCAGGGCAAATTTGGTGGGCCAAAAGGCCTGTTCCTGCGCTGTATTGTATTGAATTATGTTTCAATTAAATCGCCTTTGACTCTTCTAAAATCCAGAAGACACAGGTCTAGCCTGTCAATTCAGTAATAGTGTGTGATTGATAACAAATTGAAATTTATTCTTAATGTTTAATTGAAATTTTAAAATTAGTAATTAAAATTAAAGAAAGTTATTTAACAGAAATGAACAGAGAGTAAAGCTTAGGGTCAAAGATGCTGATTTTTGTCAGGAATAATTATTTAGTTACTTAGCTTTATTAAAGTTAACAATAAATTTAAATAATTACTTAAGATTAAATATTATGGACTGAATTTTACTAGGAATTGACTTAGTTTAAATTTTGGCATGTTTCTTGGTGGGTTTGTCTCCATGAGCCTTGGTGAGTTTTCTCATGTTGTCGACAGTTTGCCTCATTAACTGTACACCATGACTTTCTTCCCCTTTACTTGCGTTGTCTTCCATCTCAACAGTGGAGGAGGTACTGGCCGCTGCCTGAACATCTCCTGATTCCTGGTGCCATTTTTAAAGCCCTAATGTGCACTGGGTTAAGCACTGCCAATCAGATATTACCCTTCTCAGCGCATGTAATGAGGCAGCTGACACTTTATTGCAAATACAAGTGCAAATTTGTAATTGTATTGCTATTTAAAAACCAACCTACACACTATTACCCATGCTTAGCATCAGCCCATCTGAGAACTCTGTGTAAGGGAGTGCTCCACTTTACCTAATGCTCAGGGTGCTTAAGATCTTCTCATTGCTCAATGTTGGATCATTACATACAGGAAATCCTTCAAGCAGTTGAAAATATTCACATTTATTCAACAGCATTTAAAGCAAAGCAAATAACATACAAAAGAAGCTGCATTTGCTTCTGAGAAAAGAAGGAATTGCTTGCCTTTCAAGCAGCAAGAAATTTACAGTCAATGAGGTGATCACTGTACAGAGGTCAGCTCAATTTGAAATAGGTGTTAATTAAGTCCTGTTTGACCCAATGCTGCAATGCTCTATTTTGCAAGATGTGACATTCATTCTTCTCAGAGATAGTAAGAACTGCTGATGCTGGAGTCAGAGTTAACAGAGTGTGGAGCTGGAGGAACACAGCAGGCCAGGCAGCATCAGAAGAGCAGGAAAGCTGACGTTTCGGGTCAGGACCCTTCTTCAGAAAAAAAATTCTTCTCCATGTCCTCATCTTCATCTTCAGAAGATGGATGCCATTTTCCCAGCTTGTCAGTGTCCATCACACCCTTCTTTGTCTACTCCAGTTGTGCAGAGCACAGCATGTAAGGATTATGTGGCAGACTTTGTCTGGACTAGACAGCAAGAAAGCCAGGCTGATACAAACATTGGAACATCACTTGAGGTAGCAATTGTTGAAGAATTGGCTCCAATGTATTTGTACTCGGCCTCAGCTAGAGAATTGCATAACAGGGCCATCAGTCATGGTTTCTGAGGGTAGCCCTTATTTCCCAGAAACTATCTTTGTAAGGCATCCAGCCATTGAAACTAAGCGGGAACATGAAAGTTCGCCAGGATATAGGCATCATGGCATCTCCAGGGTAACGTATGCAAATTTCTAAGATGAAGAAAAATGACCACAGATGACTTGTACATTGATAAACTGGAAGCCCTTTCTGCTCATGAAGTCAGCTGCCTTATGAGATGGCACTCTCAACACAATGTGTATACGATGTGTAGCACCCTGTATCCGGGGGAAGCCAGCTTTATTTGGCAAAGCCTGACCTGGAGCACTGACTTTGTCAGAGAGAAATAAGATGAAGCAATGAGATCT